TGGGTGGGTTTCTTAATCTTTGAGAGTTGGTTTTTTCATATATGATAAAAGGAAATGCATTAAAATATTGCAGTTCTTGTCCACTGAGAAATGCTCTGATCATAAACAAATGAGTTAAGAATTTACAGTGATTATTTGGTTGCATGCTTCAAGCTCAGAATTTGGTTTTTGGTGCATTAAGTTTTGATTTAAGAAATAGTCATTGCTACCATGTATTGAGCTCCTATTATGTGTGGGGAAGCATTGTCTTACATACTTTGAAAACATTTGTCTAAAACTCATAAGGACCTGACACCTGAGACTCAGAAAGGAAAGGACCTGCCCCAAGGCTGCTAATCCAGGAGGTAGTGGACAGGTACCTGTAAAATGTACCTAACATAGCAGATGCTCAGCAGAGAATTTAATTAAAAGCTAAATTGTTTTAGGTATCTGAAAGAATTAGAGGCATACAGTCAAACAGTTTTCATACATTTTCAGCCCTTTTGGAGGGAGGGAAGAGTAAAGAAATGGCAAGCTCTGAGCTCTGTGGATGAATATGGGAAACATGGCTCTGTCAGCTGAGAGCACTGAGGCAACAGGGCCTGTCTAACCACCCTTGCTTGTATCCTGGCAACAACATTAGGGACACTTGTCTGTTCCTGTGTTTTTGGATATTCATAAATACTAACAAAATGAATTTCCTTTTAATGAATTTTGGGGAAATTTTTCTTTTGAGTTTACTCAGTTGTTTATGTGAAAAGAATTGAGTGAGGTGTTTTATATTTTAGGTTAAAAATCTGTAAGAACCTGATTTTAGAATTCACCAGCTCCTCAGAAGTTTGGCGAAATATGGTATGTTTCTGTTTTTATTTTTTGGAATTCAAAATTGCATGTATATCTGAATGTCATAGTTAGAATAATGGCAAACATTTTCAGCATATATGGGCACTTGCCATTTTTAAAGCATTTTGCTAGGTACTAAATCACTGTGCTACCAGGTAGACCATAAGGGACGTAAGTGGGATTCTGAAGAAATCAGAAAAGATTAGTGTGTCATGAGAAGTGAAATCTTACACATGAGAAGATTGAATGGGGCAGGTTTAGCTATATGAATTAATAATAGCTTCCTGAATGGGGCAGGTTTAGCTATATGAATTAATAATAGCTTCCATTTGTTGAGCTCTATGTGCCAGGCACTGTTGTGAGTAGTTTATATGTTGGTTTGTTCATTCTCAGGACAGCCCTCTGAAAAAGACACTATTACAGTCTTAGTTCTCCCTGTAAATGAAATGAGGCTCAGAATGGTTAAGAAACTTGCCCAAGAGTTGCCATCTAGTAAGTGACCAAATAGGAACTTGAATCCAAATTGGCTCTGGAGCTTGTTTGTGCTCTGTTGGACACCGGACCTCATAAAAGAGGAGACAGAGAACTTGACTCAGTAATTTTCAAAAAACATGTCGCTCTTCAACGAATTAATCTACTTCAGTTGATTAGTTAAGAGATATTTTAACTTTATTATTTTTATATTGACAGATAAGAAAGTTAGACTTCTTTGGATCCTCTAAATCTACATACACATTTAGTCTTACGAGAGAGAACCCAAGAGGGAATGTTGTTCATTTCAGGAATGCCATTTCCTCTTCCTCATGTGGCCTCAGTAATGTCCTAGGCTCTTATTAGGAGACATGTAGCTATGATAGGGAAATTGTATTATTTCTTCCAAGGATTAGGAGTCCCATTTATTGAAGTCACCTACAGTTAATTATATATACTAAGGCCAGCCCTCATCCTTATTTGAATTCGAAGCCCAAGTGTATAGGCTGCTGCAGAGGTCTGGGCCTAAGCACTGATATTTCAGCTCTTCTTTTGGTATTCTCAGGTACCTTACTATTTTATATTGAGTTCTGGGTCCATGCTGGTAACTACCTTCTATAGTTGTCTCTTGTCACTTTGAAGGTGTTAACTGTCAAGAGTATTTGTTTCTCCCTCTTAATTTTCTCATTTTCCTTAGTTCACTTTTCATATTTGGCCTGGATATACAGTTGGTAGGGAAATAATTAAGGGGGAAAACTAGCTGCACAAAACGAGTTCTCCATACTGGAATATTTCAGATGTGTATCTTTGCCAGAACTATATATAACATTAGGATGCCTGATGAACCATGACACTCAAGAAAGTTCAGCTAAGGCCAGGTAAGGGAATCAAAAGATCCTAGATTGAGGGAGGAGGACATATTTCTATATTTTGCCAATCTCTTTCATGAAATCTCTTTCATGAAAACTAGACTCTTTCATGAAAACTAGACTTTCATGAAAACTAGACTTCTTTCATGAAAACTAGACTCTCTCTCTCTCTCTCTCTCTCTGTGTGTGTGTGTGTGTGTGTGTGTGTGTGTAATTATCTGTTAAGCATTTGGCTACCTGGAAAACCCTATGTCTTATTTAAACAATTGCCGTAATGGTGGGATCTCAATCCACATTCTCATTCTTTGCTCAATTACATGTATATAACATATGAAACTCTTGTATTGTAAGACCAAGAAATTCTAACCCTGGATAGGAAGTCAGTAGATCTGAGTTTTAATCTTTACTTCAGCACTAATTCTGAAGTCTTGGGCAAGTCAATTAATCACTCTAAGTCTGCTTAATTTGTTTTTTGTTTGTTTGTTTTCTTAAATTCTTACTGTAGTATCTGCCCTAGTTAGGTAGAGCCAAAGTTGTCAGGAGACTCAAGCAAGATACTATCGACCAAAGTGCTTTGTAAACTGTAACACTCCATAAAAGTACAAGAGATTATCAACACATTTTCTAAAGAGAAGAAATCATTTAAGGGGAAAAAAATAATGCTGGAAAATAGTCCTTAAAAACATTTCTATAATAATTACTCTTCTGATGAATATTGCATTGACACTTAATTTGAAGCTTTGGAGATTATTTTTTGAACAGTGGATTGGATTTATATATTAAAGTGTTCTAACTAAAGATTTGTTTAATTTATTAGAGTTATTAAACCTACGCTCAGAGCAAGTTAGCAGCTAGACTGGTGTGACAACCTGTTTTTAATCAGTGACTCAAAGCTGTGATCACCCTGATGTCACCGAATGGCCACAGCTTGTAAAAGGTAATTTTGAATGTTATTTTACAGCCTTTAAAAGGCTGTTATTGTAAAGTAAAATACATGCTATAAAAAATGAAGAAAATGTATAGTTGGCAGGAATGATGTGAATACCTAAGTTTTAATGTGCTTCTCCATTAAATATCTTTCCTAAAATATTTTATGCTTTCCCTCCCTCCCCGGCCCCCAATCTATGTGCATAAGTCAACAGGAAAGTATTTCTCAAAGATTTCAAGTTTTTAAGTAAACATGTTACTATGAACATTATAAAAACTATGAACAAATTCTCAATGCACATTTTATGTGGTGAGAGTTTTAACTAAAATGCTGCTCTAGGAGTTTTGAAACTTTAATAAAACTGGTATAATTTACTTTCCTAAAGAGTTACAGTGGAGGTTAAGGAGTGGCTTATAGGCTAGACAGGCTGCACCAGTTATTGGAAATGAGCCTCCATATGAGTGTTGTGGCTCATCCTGCAGTATTTAGATTTGGAGGCATTTTGTGATCACTTTTCTGTGATCCAGATCAAGACTTAAAATAGAGACTTCCAAGATTTATTTTTTATTTTCTAGTGTTACTTATTATTTGTTTTGAAATTTCTTTTCTCGTTTGTTAGTCTGACAAACTTTAGGCTAACCTAAGTCAGTACTTTCTGGGTTTTTCCCCCCCTCTGATTATGTCCTGAATTTGGTAAAGTTAGAGCATATACCAGATCCTTACTTCCCAAAACTGGACAGTAATGAGACTTTTTAGTGGCCAGGGTAAAGCTTGGAAACAAATGCTAGATGTTAGGTGATTTCATAGTGTTGGAAATGAATGCTAACTTTAGGATATATTTTGTTAAGTATTATATTATTTATAGTATTATAGAAATATAAGCAGAATGACTAGAAATTTATTCAGACATGTACTGTTATTACTGCAAGAAAAGTGTTTCTGTTAATTCTTTGTATATTCACTTTTCTTTTAATTAAAAACAGTTTGCGTTTTGAGTAGAAAACAACTTGGGCTAATAACAATGTTTATGAGACCCAGGATAGACCTGTTTCAGGGTAATACTCTTTCATCCCATTCTTACTCTTCTGTCCTCCTGTTAGACTGAATTGGTTTAAATCACTTGGTTTGACAAATAAATGGTTTTTGTAGCTCTCTTGAATATATGTTAATATTAAACGATAATCCACTATTTTATAATTTGGTGACAGTTTGATGCTAATGTTTACATATTCTATTGTTTAGGGAACAGAAATTGGAAAAGAGTGTAGTTACCATTTGATGATGTATTTAACTTCTGTCCCATTTCTCAAAACTTTGTAGCAGTTATATATTGTGCTTCTAAGACTCCGATTTGTTTTCCTTCTGCTTGTGTCTTACCTTTTTGCAGTAGCATTTTAATTTTCCTGTCATTGTGTCCTCATTTTTTTCCCCTCTCTCTTTCTCTTTCCCTGTTAATTTTTAAAGTTTTGCCGCCTGCGTGTTTGAAAGCTTCTAATCTGCCTCTCTTCCCTTAGTGCCAGCAGGTTTATTTTTTGTTTTGCAAGCCTGCTCTGCCTCCTTACAGTATGACATCTGATGCTGGAGGGTCGCACTTTCAAAAATGAGTCAGCTGGTACATGGGGTTATCATCAGTTTTTAGCTCTTCTGTCTGAGACATACAAACAAGTTTGGAAGCAATCTTGGGGTACTTACCCACAAGGCTGGTGGAGACCAGGTGTGTCACAAAGGTGATTTGCTTGCTCCCTGGGGAAGAGGGTGGAGTGAAATTTTTGCATTTGTGTCAGTGCCAAGTCACTGCCACCTCCAGCATGCCCCAATTTTTAGTTCTAATATGACTTTGTGCAAAATTGAAAATGTAAAGATACTTCAAAGAGGATCTAAAATATCAAAATATTTGAGTTGCTGGAGTCTTGCCTTTTTTTTTTTTCTTCCTTTCTTTCTTTCTTTTTTTTTTTTTTTTTTTTTTTTGCATTCTTGTCCTTGGACTCTGAATGAACTGCAGTGAGGGGTAATTTTGAAAGTCTAATAAATAAGATTTTTAAAAGCTAAGAAATGTGGAAAACAGTTTGTTTCTTTTTCTTTTCTCTTTCTTTTTCTTTTTTTTTTTTTTTTTTTTGCTGGTGGCTCTGATTCTAAGATTCTTTTGTTAAAGTTGTTCACAATTTGAAGTCTCAAGTCAGTGATAAATTTACAGATCAGGTTGTAATGTCATTTGGAAAATTTAGTTTTTGATCTCTAAAAAAATTTTCTGAGAATTTGAATTAGCAATCAATATTATGTTGATTTAACTTAGTATATATTGACTGATGCTGTTTATAAAACTGAATAGGGTAACAGGAATTTATTTTTTTAACTGCATGGTAGGAATAGGCAAAATTCATTCATACCCCAAAATGAAAATAAGACTTTTTAATGTCTTAGAATTTTGAATATTTTTGTGCAAGATAGTAACAGTATATTAAAAAAGAATAGAAAACAACTGGCAACTTTTTATAACTGAAATCAGTTCACAGTTATCCATAGTAAAATTTTAATACCCCAGCTTGTTATACTTTTGATAGGTAGTGCATCTTGCCAGCATATTTTCAGGGAAGGTTAATTTCATTGTTGAACCAAGATAATCATGATTAGAATGGTAAATCTGACTTAAAGTGTCTCAGAATTCACTAAGCCTATTAGATTAAATTATTTAGAGCAGAAGTTAGCAAACTTTTTCTCAATGGGCCAGATAATAAATAAATACTTTAGGCTTTGTGGGGCATATAGCTCTGTTGGAGTTTCTCAACTCTGCTCTTGTAGTATGAAAGCAGCCATAGACAATATATGTAAATGAATGAGTTGTGGCTGTGTTCTAATACTACTACAAAAATAGGTGCCTGACCCAGGCCTTAGTGTGTTATCCCAGGAAATAGTTCGCTGACCCCTGACCTACGTATAGTTTGGGACTATGAATACCAGTGAATACTTTTAATATTTTGGATAACTAATAGTTGGCTGCAGAAAGTTTCATAGTTGTATGTTTTTATTATAAATATTTGACTTTGTGAATAATTATGATTTATTATACATTTTACTCCTTTGTATGTTGGTATTTAAATGTAGTGTTTACAGTTTCCTTTCCTTAAAATATGCATTGACTTTTTTATTAGTCCAGCTTTTATAATAAACGTGTTGAATGGCAATCTAATTTGATCACTCTTTTCTTCTGTTGAGATCTTTAGTTACTTTTAAAACTGTTAACAATTAAATCTTGTTTTCAAAATTGTCTACTAATATAACATGTCTGCCCCTTTTTGGATTACGGAATATTTTGCTTAACTTTCCTCAATTGCATTTTACAGATCACCAGGAGAACCTCAGTCTGACGACATCGAAGCTAGCCGAATGTAAGTGTAACTTGGTTGTGGCTGTGGTGTCTTCTGAGTTACCCTAGATTGCTTTAAAGGTATTAAATTATTTGAAAATAATTTCTAGTTATAAGAGAGTAATATATTAAAAAATAAATTGAGAGAGAATAGTGTACCTATTTTTCCTACCAAATAAATACCTCTAAACTTTGGTACCATGTCACTAAATTTCTACTTTTAGATAGATAGTTGTAGACTCCTGGATTATAATGTGTTTTTGGTTACCTAGCAGTTGTGGGGAAATAGAGAGGGGAAGGAGTTCAGGTTACTATTTTTCCTACCAAATAAATACCTCTCAACTTTGGTACTGTGTCACCAGATTTCTACTTTTAGATAGATAGTTGTAGACTCCTGGATTGTAATGTGTTTTTGGTTACCTAGCCGTTGTGTGGAAATAGAGAGGGGAAGGAGTTCGGGTTAACAATCATTTATTAAACACTCCTTATTCAGCTGGTGATGTGTTGTGGATACAAAGGTGTGTAATAATTAGTTCCTAACCCGCAGAATTTTATAGTCTACTCAGTGTGAAAGAAGCAAATCTTTAGTCCTTGTGGTAGAAGGATATCATTATGCAACAGGAACATAAAGGAGTACTGGTTACCTAGGTATACAGTAGGAACCTAATCCATGTGGTAGGGAAGTAGGTACCAGGGTAGGCCAAATTAAATCTTGAAGTGTAACTGGGAATTAGGTAGCAGAAAGCATTGGCAGGGTTATTCTAAGCAGAAGTGTGGGTGAAGTTATACAGCAGCATAGTGAGCATAGGGAACAGTAGGCAGTTGAGGATTTTTACATCGTAAGCTGAAAGGCCCAAAAGTGAGGAAGGTAAGACTCAATGGAAGGGCTAGAGCTTTGCCTGCTTGTAGAAGACCTAGGCCTATTTCATAGGTATTTGGGAGTCAATAAAGAATTTGCTAAGGAAAGGGTAGTAAACCTTATTAGACATAAAATGTTAATAGTTCTGGCAGCAGAGAAACAGAATTGAAGAGAAGTCTGTGGTGGTAGGATGACCAGGGCTTTAGCAGTTCAGTCAGTGAAAGCCTTTAAAAAAGACACTTGACATAATAGAAATTCAAGATAACATTCTCTCTGGCTGTAAGAAAAATATTTAGAAAGTGAAATAGGTAAGACTTCAGAGTTGGTTATAAGAATTTAAGAAGTTTAAAGTAATGGGAAGGTGGTAATTATTGAAGCAAGGTTTTTGAGGTAGAAAGGGTTAGAATGAAGAATATAGGTATAGGGATTGCTCTTGAATAAGGGCAAAGACCCCATCTTGTTAAACTAGAAGGAGGTAAAGTTGGATATGTGATGTTAACTGTGTTTGTAGGTGAGAATGGGGAAGACAGGGTCATTTTTACCTGAAGTATTTTCTCAGTAAATTTGTTTAGGTCTGCTACACCACTCTTTCTGTCTCCTCTGAGATGATACTAGATACTTCCTGAAAAGGAGGTTCAATTGTTGAGTAAGTTTAGAAACTGTGGTTAAACAGGTTTCTATACTGAAAATAATGGAAATATACTTTAAAGTGCTGTTATACATTGTGAATCTTTAGGAAGCGATTATAAGATGTATTTCTCAAATTTGTGTGTCTATCTAACTTTTTTTTCCCCCCAAACTTTTTTTTTTTTTTTGGTAAAATACATGTAACAAAGTTGACTAACTTTATTTTTAACTGTGTAATTCTCTTATGTTCATATTGTTGTGCAACCATTGCCACCATCATCTCTAACAACTCTTCATTGGGTAATACTGACACTATATCCTTTAAACAATAACTCCCAATACACCCTTCTCCCCATCCTCTGGTAACCATCATTCTACTTCCTAGGTCTGTGATTTTGACCGTTCTATCTCATGTACCTGGAATCATTTTTATCTGTCTTTTTGTGATGGTTTATTTCACTTAGCCTAATTTCCTCAAGTTCACCCACATTGTTGCATGTCAGAATTTTCTTCCTTTTTGTTGCTAAATAATACTATGTGTGTGTGTGTGCGCACGTGTATGGCATTGTGTTTATCCTTTCACCCATTGATGGACACCTGGGTTACTTTCATGTTTTTGCAATCATGAATAATGCTTCCATGAACATGGATGTACAAGTATCTCTTTGAGACCCTGCTTTCATTTCTTTGGGTATATACCCACAAGTGGGATTGCTGGATCATGTGGTAATTCTTTTTTTTAATTTTTTGAGGAATTTCTATACTGTTTTCTATAGTGACTGTACCATTTTATGTTCCAACCAAGGGTTATAATTTTTCCACATTCTTGTCAGTACTTGTAATTATCTGTTTTTGATAGTTGCCATCCTAATGAAGTTATTTTTTAATTGTAACTTTGTGGCCATGTAACTTTGTAAGAAATATGTTTTAATAGTATTTGTGGAACACAGAGTTTGATTAGGGAACTTGAGGAGCCTGTGAGAACTTGGAAGAGTCTGGGGGAAATGAGTGAAGTAGAAGACCACGTAATACTGACTCTCATATGCTACTGAGTGGCCATTTGAAGTTAGGAAACTTACCATACTTGGAATTTCAAGACTTTTCTTTAATAGCCAGAAAAGAGGAATGGTATTTCAAGGTTGGGTGCTAGCAAAACAGATAGGATAGAACAACTAATGGCATGTGCGTAGGTTGTTAACACTGAAGTAGTTGAATTTATGTCATTGGTGATGGCCATAATTGGGTAAGTTATAAAAAGCCAGATAAGTCAAATAAATAGTTCAGTGTAAATGAAATTTTTTAGAACGATGTAGATGATGATGATCAAGGGTTGGGTGTTCAATATTCCTATGGTAGTGATTGGCTGACATAGAGAGGAGGTGAAGCTTTTTGAAGAAAGTCAAATATTTTGGGTGTGAGGGGAGCTCAAGTGTTGGGATAGATCATGAACATAGACATTGCAGTCAGCATGACCGTGATATAACTGGGGGCAAAATGGAGCCTTTAGTGTAATGGGTATAATTTACCAGAAGAGAGGGTAAAGGTATTCAGGTAGATAACATGACTTTTGAAGTGTAAGTTGTGTTTGTGTTACTTTTTATTTTGTTTAGATGGACATTGTTTTAAATGCAAGGAATTAGAAGAGGAATAGTGGACTTACGGGTTTTAGTTGTCTATGAAAAAGTTCACAGAAAAGGGAAACAAGATAAGCAGTGTCTTTTGGAGTAATCCAGACTTTAGTGAAAGCTAAGAGTTTGGGGATTATATAAAACAGTTGAAGTTAGGGACAACCTGTATTATAAGTGTTTTTCTAGAGATCTTAGTAGAGTTAGATTGGTGGGACAAATCAGTAGTAAAGAATAGGAAAGGGTAGGTGAAGCTTGGTACTTCGTAGTAAAAATCAAGGATGGCAAGAATCTGAGGCATGATAGGATATTGTCACAAGATTCCAGATGAAGCTCTGGTATTAAGTTCTGGTTGAGTTCAGCAAAAAACTTGACCATGTTAAGGTAGAATAGCAGGAAATTAGACTTACCACAATGTCTTGATAACGGTGTGTAAGGTTCCAGACATAATCTCTGTATTATAGCTCTAAGTCTTCATGTCTGCCCCCATTTTTCAAATTCCTATACCTGTGGAAACCATACCAGGCAGTAGTTTAGTAAGGTGAATAGGTCAACGTTTATTCTACCATAATTTTGTGAGTCTTGATTTACAGAATAGGTAATGAAGGATTCTTGGTTTTACCTGTGAATTAGTTATGATCTTTGATTAATGGCACCATCTTATATTTATTGAAGTGTGATGTTTTGGGCACTTGGAGACATGTTTGCATTTGGCATGTTTTAACTAGGGAGCATCTTGGGTGAATTTTAAAGGGTAATTTTAATAAAATTAAAGACTATATGTGTTTGTTTTGAGGAATTCTTAGTGTTGTCTATTCTCTAGGGTGCAGAAAAACAGTAAAAATTTTCAATATTTGCATGCCATTCTATAGTCTAACCTAGAAATAGAACTAACACAATAATCCAGATCTTTTTTTTTTTTTAAAGATTTTATTTATGTATTTGACAGAGATCACAGATAGGCAGAGAAGCAGGCAGAGAGAGAGGAAAGGAAACTGACTCCCTGCTGAGCAGATAGCCCGATGTGGGGCTCGATCCCAGGACTCTGGGATCATGACCTGAGCCAAAGGCAGAGGCTTTAACCCACTGAGCCACCCAGGCACCCCAATCCAGATCTTTTTATCCAGTTGTGTGTATATTCTCTCTGTAGTTTGTTTAAACTTATATATTAGTGGCATCTTTTTGCACATAATAATTTAGATTCTTTAATTTTTTTAATGATTTCAAAGCAGTTTCTAATAACTACAGATTTCTTATCCTTTGGTATTTACTCTCCACGCCTGTATTTAATCCTTAGGTTGTTTTCCGGTGTATAACAAAGACAGTAAATGGAACAAGGGTAGGAGTATCAATTGACTTAGGGTTCAGTGTATGTCAAGGCTATGTAAATAAATACTTAGTTTTCTATAAGTGTTGGTATGACCTAAGACCCAGACTCTCTAGGTAAGAGCTTTATCAGCTCTCATATTTTTACCTCCAACTCCGACTTACCCTCTAAATTGTAGACTCATATATCCAATAATTGAATGTCTGATTTTCAAACTTATCAAGTCCAAAATAGCTCTTCATTTTTATCCTCTCAAATCTACTTGTCTTGTTATTTTGCCATCTTAGTTGGTCGCAACTCTTTTTTTTTCTTCCAGTTTATCCAAAACTTTGGAAGCATCTTTGATTTCTATTCGTCTCACTCAAATTATCAGCAAATCATGTTGACTCCACCTTGAAAATACCATAATTCAACCACTTGTCTTTTTATACCATTTCCACCTCTGTCACTCTTATTAAAGCCATCATCTCTTGTCAAAAGAATGCAGTTGTTTCCCAGTAGTCTTGCTGCTTCCATCCTTGCTCCTTTCAGTGTATTTTCTATGTAGCTGCCAGAGTGATTTTTTTTTTTAAGATGTATTTATT